AACAGGTACTGTAAGCCGGGAAGGATCGTCGTCGAGACGAAAAAGAGTACGATGAGCATGCCAAGTCCGCTGACGAGCATGGCTACCATGCGGTGGAGATACCATAGGAGTTCGATGACTCCGGCGAGGAATAAGAACAGGGAGATCTGGAGCAATATCGGGACGACAGCGATAATGGTCCCGACATGCCACGCCGTCAGGCCATGGTACTTGATTTGTCTGACTGCAAGGTTGGTCTCGTGGGAGCGGTTGGTATCCCGCAGGTACTCCCGCAGCCATTGCTTGCACACAATGCCAATAAGGGCAGAGGAGAGGCTGAGCGTCAGACCACCGAACCAGTAGGCGTTGACGTGCGCGACGACATTGTCGGGAAGGGAAGGGCTGTTGATTGTTGTTTCCACTGCAGATACCGAGGAGTTGCTCATTAGCGCAACCATCTGGCGCAGATAATCGGCGCTCCTATCGTCGGGTCCCGCCATGAGCCACTTGAAAGCCTCGACCACGAACGCGGACAGAATAGCCGAGAAGAGACCGGCCTATACGCAGATTGAGTATATGATGATGGGAGCATAATGTGGCGACGTACGAAGACAAGAAGGGTGTCAACCTCTCCGCCCCAATTTTGACACATGTTCAAGTCGAAATCCGCTATCAGCTTGGCGCACTCCTGCCAGCAGTTGCCTTTCCCCGTCGGCGTGTTGCAAAAATCGTCCCCTCCAGCGACCCACCTGCCATTATCGAGGTTGGCCTGTAACGGGAAAGGTTAGAGTCATGTATTAATCAGCAAGAAGTATATGTGTACGTTGAACAGTCCTGGCGAGTGCCCGGAGCGCGGGTCGCCAGACGTGTCGGGTTTCTGAAAGGTCGTTAGACGGGGAACGCCACAGACAAGGAGACAGATAACGCACGCTCGTCGTCGAGTCAGCGTATGAGCGCTTGCTTTTAGTCGACTGGACGTTGGTAGCATTCGTAAACATCGGAGCCGCATTCGTTGCAAGCGAGATGTATTGACTACTTACTGGCGGCCCACGTCGTTGTTGGCCATGATTTTGCGCCTGATCGAGCGGTCATCGATGAGCTTGGATGCCAAAAGGATCAGGTATTGAACGCACAAAGGTGTCCTCGTCTGATTGACCGATGCTCGACATGAACGAGGGAGGCGACGCGGCGGAATGTGATTCACTTGAGGTGGGGGAGCGGGAAGACATGCTCGGTAAGGGAGATGTGCCCTAGTGTATGGTGATGGGGGACAGTGGGAGAGCGTACGTCCACGCAGCTAACGCATGTTTTGATGACATCCCAGAAACCGCATGTGACTTCTGAATTAGCACGTCTCCTTCTTTCCCCCCTGATGCATCAGGAAAAGGGGGTCCCAGTCCAGGCGCGTTGGCGATCTTGCTCCGCGCGGGCGCTCTGGAAGGGGCCATGGGTTCGCTGGGGCGCGCTAAGGCTCCCTCGCTACCAACAAGCTAGCGAAGGCACCAGGGGACACTTGTGCGCTCTTCTACTCGACCTTGAAAGCTTGAGGTGTGATTCTTCCGCCCTCAGGGCGACACAGGAAACTGAACCCAGTGGGACGGAACTCTTGTTCTCTGACCGCAAGCGCGTGAGCCTTGGCAACGTAGGTACTATAGTACTTAGGAAGTTAACTGCCAACTCATGATGTCGTTGTGGCTTGCTTGGGGGATCTGTCGTCGTGTACTCAAGTACCAGCGGCCGCCGAAGCAAGTCCCCAGTACTTAAGGCCGGCCCTGGGCCGGCCAGCCCTCAAGTGAGTCTAAGGTTCACGTGACTGCTGCGGTTGAAACGACGTGTGGCGTGATTTACTCTTGTACACTCACCGCCATGCAACCGACCCCGACTTGAACTCCGGCAACGTCAACAATCTTCCCCCGCCATCATGGAGCTTCTACGACACTGGTTCTTCTCTCTTCCTCTAAAGTGGACAACGCCGACCCCGACTGCGACATAAAAGTTGACTGACGACCTTCATCGTCTGCCTAGCCTTTCTGTGAGCTACCTTTACCCCTTGCAACGTGCCTTGTTAACCGAGGGACAGGCCACTGTTCCTTCTAGCAACATGTTTGCCTTCGCGGGAACTGGTCCGCATTTTCAGCAGCCGAGGATAGTCTGATGATCGCCCAGAATACTCGGCAGGAGTCGAGCGATGACGCGGTTGCGGGTATCTCGCAATAGGTGCGTGAACCTCCCGCTCGCTGATTGTTCTTACCATGATTGAGGTAGATCTCGCGGAGAAAGATAGCCAACGCCCTCCCTTTCAGTCCGCCCCTTCGACATGAGCCCGTCCATGAAACACTCAGCAATAGCCGTGACAATACACACCCAGCATCAGCCGAGCGCCGCTGACGGCGGCTTCCGCGGTCAGGCGTAGCACCCACGCCTTCGTGGCGAGGACGTCGACGATCCCGTGCTGCACGGCGGGAAACATGCCGTTCGTCTCGGCCTCCACGTCTCGCCCCACTCGCCGCCTTCGCTCTCGTGCTTCGCCCACAGCCGGCCGCAAACGAGCGTCTAGGCTGCGTAACGCGGCCCCAGCCTTTCACTCTCTGCTAGGAGCGCGCCGGCGTTGATGGACACCGCGTCTGTATCAGCTGCGGTATGCCGCCCTGCAGCTCCTGCACGTCCTGACGTGCGAGTTCAGTCAAACAACGCGTGCGGCAGCGAGCGCGAGCAACGCGGTGGCGGCGACGTGCCGCTGTGTCATCCGGGCGCGGTCGGCAGACGTCGGAGTGTGGCCCGAGGCCCAAGCGAGGCGAGCGCGCACGCTGAGGCCGCAGCGCGCGCGAGCCAGTCTCCGCCACGCGCGTACTTATCCGTGTGTCTAGCGCCCAAAGAGGGACGCGTAGATGCCTGAGTGCAGCAAGGCGCGATGCGCGCCTGTGCCAGCGCGCGCGGCGCGTGAGCGAGTCATGGCAGGGACAGTTCGGGATTTTAGGGAGAAGTGGTGGTTGTCATTTCAGACAGTGTGTATGTACATCGGGGACCCGCAGCTGTAGACCTAGATGACTCGGACTTGTAGTAGGAATTCAAATCTGAATGTCATTTCTGTGCCAAGAAACAACCGAAAGTATCCCGAATATCAAGCTATCCCTGGCAAACGAGTCATTAGACTGACGACCCTACATGTTTATAACGATTCCAAGCCGCTGCAGGGTGCCTCAGGAGCCCCCAGGAATTTTCTAACCGAGGACCCTATCCCTGTCGGCGTTGGCAGAGTTGACCTCCCTGAGACGCCCGCAGGGCGCTCGAGGGCGCCTACAATCACGAGACCCTTTTCCTGATGTGATCGATGGCGGATGCTTGCATGAAGAGGCTCAAGGTGGTTGAGTACACCAATTCGTCGAATTCTGTGTATGGGCGTGTTCGAATACATCATTGGCGTTGTCAGCGGTTCCTACGAGTCCGCGCCGATGCTCTGTTTATCTCGTGCATCATCCGTGTGGCGAGCGTTAACACTGTGTCATGTACCGCGACGATGTACGTGTTGGTCGCTTCCTGCAAGGCTGCCTCTTGTTCCCACCTCGTTGGCTTGCCGTTGTCAATACCCCGATCCAGACTGAGGCGGAAATACGTCCTGTCGAAGTCGCCGAACATTTGACGGAATTTTGCATCTGTGGATTCGCACCGTTCCGCGATGTGGCGCACGGCAGAGAGGATGGGCAAGGGTAGTATAGGCTGGCTGAAGAAACCTTTGGGTGGGCTGACGTCGATGGTTGTTGACTGCCCTGCGCCGAGGCTAAGGAGGTAGACGATGTGACGAGAGGGAAATAGACTTCGTGCTTCTTCGCAGAGATCGAGGATGGGATTATAGTGGTCATCACCCGCGTCGAATATACGCGAAGCTGCAGCCGCGGCTGGGTCGTCGGGTCGAAAGAAGGTCCGGTGGCCCATGGTGGCACGTACGGCTTCCGTGAATGTATGTCGAGACGTATAGCCTGGGGCGGGGTATGTCCTTAGTCTCCGTGCATGGGCTCTGGCAGAATCGAGGGTGCTTTGCCTCACGCAGACGAAACTAAGGCCCGATGAACGTGTGCGCAAAGCCTACATCACGACCGACTCACGTTTTGCAATGAAAGACTGAATCGTCCAACAGCACAGTGTCGTCTCCCGTCTCCGAAACGGTCAGATATCTCCCGTAGTACGTCGTTCAAGGATGATACTTTGAATGTACCATCGCTCTCGGTCCGCAGGAAGACTCGTTGCACAACACGGGTATAGCACTCAATGGCTTGGTCGACAGACAGGCGCAGGCGGCCAAGGAGGAGAGCAATAAGCCTATGGTTTTATCAGCCACGCACGACAATTCATAGAGGTACAACCCACCCTCCGGTACCGCTGCCTGCGATGATGTCGAAGTATTCGCAAGGCGGGGCCGTGACACGAGACAGGTACTGTATCTGATGCATTATACCCCGTAAAGCAGCAACATGCTGAGCCCGCGGACACCTCCGTCATCTACCAGCATGTCAGGTCTATTGGCAGGAAGCCATGCATAAGTGACCCATACCCAGTGATAGAAGGCGTAAGCCGAGGGACGTCCACAGAGCGATATGCGTCGGCATACGATGCGTCTCGGGCAGATGACCGTGGGTCTTGCGCGAAAGCTCGCTGGTATTCGATTGAGTCAGGATCAGGATGTCGATTGTCGCGGCGTGCTGCACTCACAGCTGCCATGCACGTTTATTAGTCGGGGCAAAAATTGATTCTCGAAGTAGAGCGTAGCGAGACCAGGATGGAGTCGATTATGTGGGGGTGGGGGAGATGACTGCTGAAGACAGGCAGGTGGGGTATGATCGCCACTTCGGCGCGGTCCGATCGTACCGGGTGCTTTGTCATCTAAATGGGGAAAGAACCAACCGGAGGCAAAGTATGATGTGGAAGCTACATGGTGACTCACACCAAAGTTCCGAGCGCACAACGGTGAAGGAATCGCTCAGAGATGTGGTTTCGCGCTCCGAAGAAAAACTTAGAACGCGGTCCGACACCAGCAGGATTCGAACCTGCGCCCTCAAAGAGGAAGAGATTACGTAAGATTTGCAGGTTCTGCAGACCATTCGAATCTCTCGCGTTAACCACTCCGCCATAGTGCCTTAAAACCTCTGAAGAACTGTGCGTATAGTTAAACATATAGCTAAACATACTCACGTGATGTGATCCGGGCGGCCCGGAAGTCGATCGCATTTTCTGGTCGCGTCGCGCCTTGGCATTGACATTCTTGCGCGTCTTCACCGGTCACCGGTGCTCTACTGTTCCTCTTCCTCTTGCAGATCGTTGCCTCCCTCATGCTACCTCGCGCTACAAATCAGCGCTCACTCCCCCTTTTGAAGCGATGGACACTCCGCTCGCTGCAGAGTAGCAGCTCGAGCAAGCATGCATCGCTCTCGGGTCGTTTGCTGTTACTTGGCACCGACACATACATGATTGGTCGCAGGACATCCAACTCAGCATACATTCGACCTGTAGCACCTGGTGCTCGATATCTATCGTGGACCTGCTCGCGTCGAGCAGCGTTGACGCAGCTTGACCTTGAAGGTCACCAGTCCACCATAGTGCGTTTCGGTTGACCTTTTGGAGGAGGACGAGAAGTAATCATATCATAGTCTGATGCAGTAGGCGCTCATCTTGTCAATCAATACAACCTCGACTTTCCCGGTCCCGCGCAACTGCCAGAGGGCTGGATTAGCGGAAGTGGCGGCAAGCTCCCGCCCGGGCTCACTGCATCTGCGGCACTCAACGCATACGGAATCCAGCAAGAAGATCCCTTCTTCCACCGTGCCTATGCCAAGGATACACGTCCCACAGGCTCGCCCTCACAGGACGAGAAGGATAAAACGCCTACTGGCCTACCCCGCATTCCCGGCGACTGGGCGCGCTTCCCCTACTTCATGACCTACGTTGCCCCCTCACCATACTACCTCATGCTCCCCCAACTCCAAATGATTGTCAACATCAAGTACGGCCTGCGAGGCGATGTCGTCCCGCTCATGTACGACCCGAAGCACGAAGCGCTGGTCTTCTCTATGCGTCGCTGGGCCGAGGGCATCGAGGCAGCCTCACCGCACTTCTACTGGCTGCACTGTCCGAGCGGTGAAGTCAGCGAGTTCCTTCTGCCGGACAACTCGGACGAACTGGACACTCTCATGGCGCGCTGGGAAGACGCAGAGGAGAACTTAACCTCATTGCTCAGCGCCGTTGGCATACGACAGGCGCCGCAGACGCCTCTTGAACCCGATGCTAAAGGACTCGAGGTTATCAATCGCATTATGGAGCGCGATTCGGGCGTCATCGAAGTGCTCGAGAAGGACTACTTTAGCTTCAAGATCGCGCCGACCACGGAGGAGGAGGAGGCCCAACTATTCGATCCCCGACCACTCCTTATGGAAGAAGAACTGGCGAAGCGCTTCGTACACGAGGGTGCGACCGACGGCAATGGCAATCCTGGTGAGTGCATATCTTTCCGCTCAAGACGTGTCTCAGTTTCCGCAGACGAAATCAAGATCGACCTCAATACGCTCAAGTCCTGGATACAATATACAGCAAGGGGCAAGGCGTGAATATCGAGAGGGTGCCCGACGATTTTATAGCTCCGGAGGTCGTCGAAGAGCCATTGACCGATACGACGAGGAAGGGCGTCGCATCCTGGAAGTGGAGGAGCGGCGAGCGCCTTGATGGCTCTTAGCTTCTGTATCTTACTTACTAGCCTACGCAACTAATTCTTTACTCACTCCTGCCCTCGGGCTCATTCCATCTCTGTGGTCGATCGGAACATGGTGAGTGAGCAGCCTCGGAACCAGGATATATAAACAGTAGATGCTACGGTAAGTAATGCATGCTATGCACACACTAAGGAAAGATGACGGTAAGATGAGAGAACCCAATAAGAAAGTATAGAATGACCTATACCTATATGCACCGGAATGGAGTAGACGTCAGCAAAGAAAGAATGGACGGCGGGCCCCTCTGCGGGGAAGGTCGCCGAGAGACGTGGGCCAAGGACATGATACTGTGGGCGAAGGGACATGACTATGGGCGAAGGGACATCACCCGTATGTGAAGGTCATAATCCCCGCTTGTTCTGCGCCGCGAAACGTTCCGGATCCGACACCTCCTCATCCCACACATTGCCCTCCATCTCGCCTGGCGCGCGCTGGAACTTGACGTCTGCGTGAGGGTTCTCGTCCCTTGGGCTGTAGCCAGGTGCCGTCAGGAGCAGAAGCCCAGGTTTTGGCTTCGGCAAGGGCGGTGGCGGCCTCCGCTGCGGCTCGGGGCGCAGGTCCTTATTCGACATCTTTCGCCAGAGATGCTTGCCCGCGCCCTTGACGATCCTGCCAAACTGGATGATCGGGTCGTCGTCCGAGCTGTGCTCGTCGTCGTCGCTGCTCTCGTACCCGGTCAGGCGGCGGTTCGCCCGTGCGGTGTGCTCCGCGACCACGTCCTCGATCAGCCGCGGCGCGTTTGAGAGCTCCTCGCGTGTCCAGGTCTTCTCCTCGTCCGGCGTGACGCGCTGCTTGCCCTTCCCGCGCTTGCTGCCGGTGTCGGGAACACCGCGGTATACGCGCACGGTCGTGCCGCTCGGCGTGTCCGAAGCCTCGACCGCATCACCATCCGGCGCATCTGGATCGGACCCAGCCGCCATGAGTTTTCGTCTCCGCATGAGCTGGCCGCGCGTGGCGATCCCTAGCGGTGGGTGTCGGCGCGGCGTGCTGCGGTCGAGCTCGGGGAGGGGCGCAAACTTGATGCTGGGCTGAGACCGCAGGCGGGGTCTCGGGGAGGGCGCGGTGCATGTCACCTCGGACTGGGACGTGACAGTGGAGGGGAGCGTAGTGGAGGATGACTGCGGCGATGGTGGGCGGGACGAGTGCGAGGAGCTGGAAGCGGTGGAGTCCGTGGACCCGTTGTCTTCTTCATGGTGCGGGCCCAGCAGGTCCGACGTGTCCTTGCGGATGAGGGGGGGATGGTCCGTGGTTTCTCGAAGGGACGATTCTTCTGTCGCCATCGTCGGGGGGAGGGGTGCGGCGTAGGATGTATATACGTGTGGCGGGGAAAGGTGTGCTCCTTGCGTGCGGCTCGGGCTTTTGAGAGTCGCTACAAAGGGTCCCTAGGTAGGCTGCCACCACACAAGCCGAAGAAATGAGTGCCCGAGCCGAATTATTGCAAAGCAGGAGACTCACAATCAGGTTCAAAGGAAGGGAAAGACTAAACGAAGGGCGGGATGTAGCAAGGATAACGCGCAAGGAGCAGGACCCTTCTGTCCGCAGAAAAATAAGTTATCCAAGAGTGCAGCCCGCCGAGGGAGCGCGGTGTGGACAGAGGCGTGGAATAGACGACGACAGAACTAGCGCGGAGCGGAGTACAGGATCTTCGCGCCGTCGCTCAAAATGGCAATAGCAACCGGCCTCGGCGACCGCGGTGCCGGCCGTTAGCCTGGACGTCGCTGGACCCACAACGAGGTACAGAAGACTGCTGTATACTTCTATCCGGCCTGCAAAGTATAGCGAAAGAAGAGCACGAGCTATATCGGCGTTGGCGCAATTTTATAACGGCTTGAAGGCGGGAGCAGTCCCAGCTTTCAGTAACTAATCATCTATCGGACGCCAGCAGAATCCGACAGAGGAAGCGCAATTAATGCAGGTCAAGCCGCCGTAGTAGTTATCGTCCCACAGCCTAGCACCCTGCGCTCCTCGCCGACATAGATGACCGCGGTCTGACCCAGCGAGACGTCTCGCATGCGCTCATCAAGTTCAATCTGCACGCCTTGGCCTCGCCTGGTCTTGTTCAATTCCGAAAGTGGAGCGACGCGAGACACCAGACTGACCTGCGTACAGTGCAAGCTACCGGCGCCATGCGATAGATGAATTTGACGAAGGCTTTCAACCCGGCCGTTGTGTCAATCTCCTTGGGAGGCGCGTCCGTCCAAATCCAGTCGAACTTCTTGACAATCATAGCCTGTTTGAAGAGCGCCGGATGATTGCTACGACGTCCACTCAGTGATTGTACCTCGACTGACTAGAGGCAAACAACTTACGGTCCAGGGACGACGTAGACGGTATTCGTCGAGGCATCTTTGTCAGAGACGTACCATCTCTGCAGCATATTCGGTATGCGCGCTCGCTCACCCACGGTATAATTCCACAGTCCGCCGTGGGTCCCGACCTCTTTTCGGGACTCGAGATCCACTATACGGCCCGCTTGGCCTTGAAGATAATTCGCTGTTTGTATACATAGTTGAGTACGGCGCACGAGCGATGCGGGGCGTGAAGACGTACATAGAAACCCTCGGAAGTCGCCTTTCTGACCCACAAAGCATATGCCCATGCTTTCTTTGCGGTCGGCCACGGGTAGGTTGAAGTCGCGGGCGAGCTGCTTAACTTGTGTTTTGCGAAGCATTCCCAAGGGAAAGAGGGCGGGTCGCAGGTTGGACTCGCGAATGCCCGCCAGATAGTAAGACTGGTCCTTTATGGGATCTAGCCCAGCCAATAGCGTCGGTCGGCCATTTGACCACGACTTGCGCGCATAGTGACCTGCGACTGTTTGGGTACTACGATTTTTCAAGTGTTACGCACGGCTCACCTGTCGCGAACCAGGTATTCTCTGCGGCTAGCAACCGTATGTGCTCGTGAAGGGCGCCGAACTTGACATGTCTGTCAAGGTAGGTTCGAAAGTGAAGAACAAACAGACGGTGACCGACCTATTACATAGTACGTCGGGATTCGGTGTCACGCCGCTGGACCATGCCTCCAGGGAGGGCTGAAAGACACGATTCCAGTATTCCTTGGAAAGATCAACCTGTGAGCATCCGGCGTCAGTGAGCGTAAACATTCAACGGAGAAGATAAGTACCATTCGACATGGTATATTGAGCATATCGCAGACACGCTGGACATCCGCCCAGTCTTTCTTCCACTCGCAGCCTTCGTCGGTACCGGATTCGTCTCGCGTGTCCCAGTTGCGCATGAAGATACCGGCTACTTGATATCCCTGCAGAGCATGAGAGAAGGGTATAATTCAGAAACATATATCTACCTGGTCCAGCATGAGCTTCGCTGTCACCGACGAGTCAACTCCCCCAGACATGCCTACAATGACTGAAT